CAAAATTTTGACAGAGATTTCACTGAATCTGTAGATGATATTAACAGAAAAACTTTTGAGAAGTTAAATTTAACAGCATTTGAGCAGAGAATGATTCATGAATTAGGCAGCACTCAGAATAGAAGAGGTTCAGACCTCCACTTTGCAACATGGGCAGTGAATATTTATAGACAGAACGTCATGTAAAGTGCAGAAATAGCTCGATTGATTAGAGCTAGACATTTGACTGACATGGATATGGTCCGATCAGTTGGCTGCCTGTGACTGGTAAAGATCAGGCCATGTGTTATAAAAATCAGACTCCCAAGTTGTTTCTTTATGTACTGAGTCAGATTGTGATACATTATGAAGGAACTCAAAGTACGGACACAGTGTTAGGTCAATGGCCTCCTGTTTATTTAATTTAACAATGGTGATCAGAAGTATTGGCATCTTAAGTATATTGTCTTCAAACTCTTGAATACGGTATGCAATTCCAGTTATCTAGGTATTAAATTAGTTTTAGCAATGATTTTTAGTTTTCAGTATACAAGTCTTTCATTGCTTAATTTCTAGCTATTTTAATTTTTGAATGCTTATGTAAATGACATTTTCTTAAGTTACTTTTCAGTTTGTTCATTACTAGTGCATGGAAATACAACTTAGATTTGTGTTGATCTTGTACGTGCAACTTTGCTAAATTATTCGTTCCAGTTGTGTTATTCTTCTTTTTTCAGATTCCTTGGAACTCCCTAGATACAAGATCATGCCATCTCTGAATAGAGATAGTTTTACTTCTCCCTCTCTAATTTGTATGCATTTTATTTCTTTTCCTTGTCCAACTTCTCTAACTACAACTTCCAGTACAATGTTGAAGAGCAGTGGTAAAAGTGGGCATCCTTGTCTGTTCTTGATTTTTAAGGGGAAAGCTTTCTTTATTTCATTATTGAGTATGATGTTAGCTGTGGGTTTAGGAAATTCCCTTCTTTTCTTAGTTTTCTGAGTGTTTTCATCAAGAAACAATGTTGATTTTTTTCAAATGCTATGTGTCAATTGACATGATCATATGCTTTCTTTCATTTTATTATGACGATATGTTAAATAAACTTGATTTTCTTTTGTTGAACCACCCTTGCATTACTAGGATACATCCTACTTGGTCATAGTGTATAATCTTTTAATATGCTCTTGGATTCAAATAGCTGATAGTTTGTTGAGAATTTTGAGTCCATAATCATACAGGAATATTGGTCTCTAGTTCTTATAGTGTCTTTGTTCGGCTTTGTCTGCTTTGGTATGAGAACATTACTAGCCTCAGAAAATCAGTTAGGAAGTGTTCCTACCTCTTCAATTTTTTGGAAGAGTTTGAGAAGGATTGTTGTTAATAATTTAAATGTCCAGTAGAATTCACCAGTGAAGCCATCTGGTCTTTGACTTTTGTTTATTAAGTTTTGTTGTTACTGTTTTTAAAGGACTAATTCAATCTCTTTGTTAGAGATCTGGTACTTTTTTCTTGAGTTAGTTTTGGTAATTTGTGTGTTTCTAGGAACATATCTTTTTCATTCAGGTTATTTAATCTGTCAGCACACAACTGTTCACAGTGGAATCTTATAATCTTTTTTCCTTATAAGTTTGATAGAATGTCTTCACTTTCATTTCTGATTTTATTCAATTGAATCTTCTTTTTTTCTTTGCCAAATTTGGGGAGTTCTTAGACATTTTTCTCCTCTAATGTACTTTTTCTTTTTCTCTCTCTTTTATTTGTGTGACTTCTGTAATACATATTTCGGTATCCTTGTTGATATCCCCTAGGTCCCTTAGGCTTTGCTCATTTTCCTTTCTTATTTCTTTCTGCTCCTAAGACTGTATAATTTCAATTTTCCTCTCTTCAAGTTACTGATTCATCCTTCAACATGCAAAAAGTGTCTCCTGAAATTCTCAAATGAGGTTTTCATTTAACTTATTTGTACTTGCAAGCCCAAGATTTTTCTATTTGGTTCCTTTTCACAATTTCTATCTTTGTATTGATATTTTCCTTTTGCTTATACATCATTACCCTATTTTCCTTCACATTTTATGTTCATGGTTTTGTGTCCAGAATTGGTGGGTTCTTGGTCTGATTGACTTCAAGAATGAAGTTGCAGACCCTAGAAGTGAGTTATCACTCTTAAAGATGGTGTATCTGGGGTTTGTTCCTTCTGGTGGGTTTGTGGTCTCACTGAGTGCAGGCGTGAAGCTGCAGACCTTCGCAGAGTGCTACAGCTCTTAAAGGTGGCGCATCCAGAGTTGTTCATTCCTCCTGTTGCATTCGTGGTCTTGCTGGCTTCAGGAGTGAAGCTGCAGACCTTCACAATGAGTGTTACAGCTCTTAAGAGTGGTGCAAACCCAGAGAGCCAGCAGCAGCAAGATTTATTGCGAACAGCAAAATAACAAACCTTCCACATTGTAGAAGCGGACTCCACCAGGTTGCCCTGCTAGCTCTGCTGGCCTGCTTTTATTTACTTATTTGGCCCCACCAACATCCTGCTGATTGGTCCATTTTACAGAGAGTTGATTGGTCCATTTTACAGACAGTTGATTGGTCCATTTTACAGAGTACTGATTGGTCTGTTTTTACAGAGTGCTGATTGGTGCATTTACAAACCTTCAGCTAGACACAGAGTGCTGATTGGTGTGTTTATAAACCTTTAGCCAGACAGAAAAGTTCTCCAAGTCCCCACCCAGACATAGAGTGCTAATTGGTGCATTTACAAACTTTTAACTAGACATAGAGTGCTGATTGGTGCATTTACAATCCTTTAGCTAGACAGAAAAGTTCCCCAAGCCCCCACCCAACCCAGAAGCCCAACTGGCTTCAACTCACAGTTTCCTTTAGTTCTTTGAGCATATGTGAGACAGTTGACTTAAATCATTGTCTAGTAAGTCCAATATCTGAGCTTCCTCAGGAATGGTTTCCATCAATTTCTTTGAGACTTCAGAGGCTACACATGAGTAAATGCAATTAAATCCACAATGTGATGACCCTACCTATTCACCAGAATGTATAACATTTAAAAAGGAAAAGAAAAAGGAAGAACACAAAACACAAATGAGTACAGTAAGTGTAGGCAAAGATGCAGAGTAACTGAAATTTTCATTCACGGCAAGGGCATGTATAAATTAGTAAAACCTAAAAACTATTGGGCAGTGTCTATTAATATTGAATATATTGAATATATACCCTCTGCATAGTAACACTACTTCTAGGGATCTTCCAAAATCAAATGTGTAACTATGTGCATCATAAGACAGGTACAAGAATATTCATAGCAGCGTCATTTGTAATTACCCCAAACTTTAAATGATCTACTGTCAGACAACAATAGAATAGACAAAAAATTTTGGAATTATATACAAAAATGAAAACGAAACTATTATATTCTTTAATATGGATCAATCTTACAAATATAGTATTAAGCAAAAAGAGCCACATAAGAGTACATATTATGTATGACTACTTATAAACATTCGAAAGCAAGCAAAACTAATTTGATGGTAGGATTCAGAATTGTGCCTGTGCATAGGGGTATAATGACTAAGACTGAGCATGAGGAAAGCTTCTATATTGCTGGTAAACATTTAAAATTTTGGTATGAGGTGGTAGTTACACAAGTTTGTTCACACTAAGACAAGCACTTATGATTATTGTATTTTGTATATGTGTTATCCTTTAAAAGGTTTTCGCATCTACCAGTTTATAGAAGTTTTTAAAATTGTATTTTATCAATTTTGGCAAGGATACAGGGAAAAATTGCTCAAATACTAGGAGTGGGAATGTAAGTTAGAACAACTACTCAGGGGAGCAAATCAGTGAAATCTATTAAGGATTTACATCGTGCATACTCTATGATCCAGTACATTCTCATGTTGGTATCTGTACTCTAAAGAAATACTTGGACCTAAGTACAAAAAGACACCTACATATATGTTTATGGAACCATTACTTCTCACAGTAATATTAATAAACAAATATGGGAGGGTGGGGGAATGGTACATTAATTATATATATGTGTATATATATACATATTGGTTCTGAGGACATGCAGCATTTTCAGAGAATGAGGTAGATTTATATACAGATATGGAAAGATTTCAATGCTGAGTGTAAAAAAAACTACACCTGCAAATGCACAGGATCTAGGAGTCATCATCTACAGATTGGGTTTGTAATTAGGGCCTAAAAGGTATACAAGCATAATTTGTAACGTTTAAGCTTTTTTTTTTTTTTTTTGCATGGACATAGTTTTGTGTAATTTAAAATTAATATCGACACTTATAATGACTTTGGAAAAATATACAAATAATGAAACGGGGATCCAAAGAATGTTCACTGTATACCTCTGTACTTCTAAAAATGTGTATAACTGTAGCATCTATTGGGAGAAAAGTTTAATTAAATTTTAAATAAAACAATAAAAGGTGCCTAACTTCGTGTGAAAACAGACACATAATCAAATGTGACTACCCCTTAGAGATGTTAGTTACGAACTAGGAGCGCACAGAAAAGGTATCCTAAATAGGTCTGGGGGAGGTGAGAGTTAGAAGAGGTGACTCTTGAATTAAGTACCGGCATAGAAATGGTTTGCCCTGTTTTCATTCCTGGAGGGCTCAGCATGAGATGCCCAAGGGGCCCTGAAACCCATTTCCATGACATTTTCCCACTAGCTGGAGCATAAACCCCCATCGAATGACTGAAGGGAAGCGGAAGGCGCAGAAACGCGGACGAAAAGGAATCCGACGCTTGTTAAATCGTGTGATGCAAAATGCGGGAAAGTCCAACCAGCTCGGTGTTTCAAAGCTGGAGTCCAGATTTCCCACCCATTCCTACAGGCAGGCCGGCCCGCCCTCTTCCTCCTTTCCGCGTCGCTTACTGGTCAGTAGGAGATTGACAGGTCATTTGACCAATAGGTTGGCTCCTCTACGGAGGCGCTCGGGAGCCAGTCGGGTCTTTGGTCCCTCGAGCGAGATGCGAACTCTGTGCGTCGACGTCAGCGTGCTGACGTCACGGGCCGGAGGTCCCGGGGCTGCTGGGTGCGGGCGGTGGGCTGCACGTCGCCCGCTGGACTGTGTCCCGGGTCCCGCCCCGCCAAGCCCCGCCCCTCAGGCCGGGGCGCGACCGCTGAGCCGCAGTTCCCGGGCCAACCTGGGGCGGCCGGCCAGGAACCACCCGTTGAGGTAGGCTGGGTTTCTCGTTCCCCTATTTGACAGGTTGGAAAACTGAGTCTCTTGGGTCAGATGACTTGCATGGGGGCGTACAGGGGACCCGCGGACGGAGGCCATAGCCCACTCCTGTTCTGTTTACTGAGTCCTGCGCGAGCCTCCGGGGGAGGAGGGGCGAGGCAGGCTGTGCTCATAATGGACACAAGAGTGAAGTTGCAGAATGCTGAGTCCCGCTGCTCCCACGGCTTGGGCAGGGATTCAGCGATGGATATAGGTAGCGGGAGTGTCCCCATTGCTGCAGCCTGCGGACCCTGAGGAATCCCCAATGGGGTCGGCCCCGTGCTGGCGCCATGGGCCCTCCAGAGGGACCAAGAATTTGTGACTGGGTGTAATGCGTGGGTTGTCCAGACACAGGCGGTTGTGAGTCTCTTCTATTCATTGAGAAAAGTCGTGTTCAAAAAAAAAAAAAAAAAAAAATGAAAGCACGAATCATGAATGTTCTCGCTGTGGTTTCAGTTCACTGCTTCGCCTACTCATAGATTTCTCGCCATTGTTTGAAATTTTAGTTGCTTGATTACTTTTGATTTAGGGTTAGGGATTTTTTTTCCCCCTCTCTTTTAGTTCAAACATGGGTCGACATTGTGGAACTTTTCTTTGTTCACTATGTCATTTGTCTTCTGTTTCACAGATGGAATCACTGAATTCAACACTTGTACTAGTTTGGATAAGTTTAGCAAGGTAACAAAGTAACGGGTCTAATTAAATCTTTACTGGAATTAGTCCAGTTTGCTGCATTTCCTTGTTAGGTAGAGTTCTGAAAGGTAATTCCCATCTATATACCATCTACCCATATGCCTCTTTATAGAAGCAGGATCTCACAAAACAACTTATGGTATCCTTGTTTTATTTACGGATTCTGGTAATTAAAGTGGTGGATTATTCGTGTTCATAAAGTGAAAACATGTACAATATGTTGTCATGTAGAAGTCACCCTCTTTAAAATCTAGCTGTCTCAAATATTGGTCTTTTAAAACAGCATTATTGCATTGCCTAAAACTGCATGAAAGAAATGAAATTAAACAGCCTCTGAGGGATATTACCTTACTTATGTTCACAGAAGGATGGTGATTAACATCATTTGGATTTATTCATTGGACAGTTTATCTGAGTGATTATCTATGCCATCCATTGTTTTAGGTGTTAGAGATTGAGTAGTGAGCAATTTAGATAAGGCCCCTACCCTCAAAGATTTTAACTTTTGATGGAGAATATAATACACATGTAAATCAAAAAGACAAGTTTAGATAGTAATTAATGTCAGAGAAGGTATTACTGGGTAGGGAGCTTGAGAGTGACTGGGTTGTGTGGAGAAATGGGGTGGTCAGGAAAGACCTCCGTGAGGAGGTGACATTTTGGGTGATAGCTGAATGTTTAGCTGAGTCAGCCATGAGAAAATGGGCTGGAAGTTTCTAGGCAGATATAAACAGTGTAAAGGAGCTAAAGGAAGAGTGAACTTGGCATGTTGCAGGGACAAAGGGAACCTTTGAGTGAACCTAGGGAAGGGTGAGGTGAGGGGACAGTGGTCAGAGGTGGCACTGGAGAGGTGTACAGGGATTGGATCATCTTGTATCCCATGTGAGAATTACAGGCAAGCAAGGGAAAGATAATTTGTATATTGTAAAGTCTTGTTTTCTTTTAGTGATACTCATAAACTCTAACCAACTTTCTGCTTTGTTTTGGTTATGAAATCATTGCAGTAATTCATTGTGTATATATTTTTTCTCCAGAGGCCCTCTGAATGAAGAGATCTTGTTTCCTTCAGCACCTTATCTTATGTAGTTTGTGTCCTTTCCATTGTTATATGCAGAACTCAAAGTCTTTGCTTTTTCTTCAGCTCCCTGCTTTTAATCCTTTCTACTTCCAAGCATGAATCCTCTTTCTTACTACCTGTACCTGCCTTCCACTTGGAAAGCAGTGGCAGTCAGTCTCTGCTCTTCTCCAAGCCAAATTCTAGGAAGCTGAATTGGCAAGTGGATTATTGTTCTTCATTAGAACTTGTATTACTGACCAGAAACGTAATGCTTGCCTTTATTTAGTACCTATGATATGCCAGGTATGTTATATACATTCTATTCCTTCCAACATGTTGCAAAGGAAAATATTAAGCTTTTTTGATAGTGAAGGAAACTTACACGTCAGCTACTGAGCTAGTACTGATGGAGCTTGGATTTGAACTCCCATTAGCTTTACTCCAAAGCCTAATTCATTCTACCCCACCTCCCATTAACCCCCAACCTCACGACCCTGAGCAGCAGCAAGTCTCTATTACTTAAAATTATGTTTTATAATGTGGCATTTTAGAGATCACGTGATTCACCCCCCTTAGTTTAGCGATCATGTGATTCACCCCTCTTAGTTTAGAGCTGGGGCTGTGGAGGCCCAGAGGTCAGTGAGTTTTAAAATAATGCACCTAATGGCCAAACTGGTATCAAATTTTTGCCCTGCTCATTTTCAGGCTGGTGTTTTTTCTGCTATATTTCCTTCATGAAAGTCCCCTATCAATGTATTTCTGTATATATAAAAATATAATATTTCAGCAGCATGAATTTATTGTCCACAAACTTGTAAAAGTTAATTTTAAAAAGATGAGACGTTGCTTCTTCTTGGGCTACAATAATCCTTTGCCTTATTTTCCTTCCCTTTTCTGAAGAATGAACAGGTATAAACTTTCTGGATGAATCTGATTTCTGTTAATAGAAAGCTGTGGTTTAAAAATGACTTTTAACATTTTGTTTTAATTTTAGAAATGTTTGAAAAGGAGTTTAAAATGTGTTACTATTTTCCTAGCCTTAACTTTATGCTTAGAAGTATGGGAATATTGTCTAGAGTTTGCTGACTCATAGTTTCTCTTAGCAAGTAGAGTTTCTTCCTGTTATTGAGGAAGCCCTTAGGTCAGTGATATAACTTCTTTTTCTTAGTAATATGTTATGTTTAAAAGTAAGTCAAAATCAGTTTATAAATTAATGTGATTGAGCATGCTATTAACAGTGGTCTTAAAATTTAAAAATACGCATTATTTATTTCTAAGGTTTGCATATTTTAGTAATTATGAGTGGAATATGGTAGACGAATAACAACAGACTAATAAATAGCTTAATTTACTTTCTGTATGTCTTTTTGACTCTCCTGTAACTTAATAGAATTTATTTTTTTCTTTAGAATAATTTTAATGGAATTAGTATCTTCTTTTTTAAATATTGGAAGGTACTTAAGTTTAAGCAAAAGAGAGTTTTTGCTCTTTAGGCCAAAATATCAAAACTAGACATTCTGACTATCTCTGTTCTTTAGAATTGTTCATGCAACTGATGCCCATATTCTGAAGACTCAGGTCGTCATGATTTGACCTCCATCTTTTGCCATGAGCCCAGTGCCCCAAATTGGACTCCTGGTCTTTGCCTCAGGCTTTCCAGCTTCAGTGCCATTACTTGTTCTGCTTGGAATGCCCTCTGGATAGACAACTCCAGCCAGCCAAAATTCTACCTGTCCCTCTAAGTCCACTCAAATGCTGCTTTATCAATAAAGCATTTCCTGTGTCTCTATAACAGAAGCCTTCTTTTCTCATGTCACTTTTGGGAGCGTCTCTTTGACACCAGTTACCAGTCCTGATAGCATTGGTATTGCACTATTACATGCACAGGTGTTAAAATATATGTTGACTTGAGCTTAAAAGACTTGACAATTTGTGTTATACATGCACAGTTTTTTGCAGATTGTAGAGCTCTGTTATTTTATTTACACTTTTATCATCTTATCTTTGAGAGACAAACTGTTAGGCTTTTCTCAGCTTTGATTCCACAGAACCTGTTTTCTGTTGTAGTTAAGGGTCTGCCTTCTGCAGTTATCAAGAGGTCCTTTGAGAGAACTCATGTCTTTGGGCTATAAATGCTGAAGGCACACGGTCACGAATAAAATCAGTGTTCGCTGTGTTTATGGTATTGGAAAATACTAACAATGATTTCCACTTTTTAATATTAGAGATGAGAAAACAGGCCCAGAGAGACTAGCCCTGTATTACTTGCAGCGCTAGGCTAAGAAGCCTGGTCAGTACCCCTGGTTCATGGCTGCAAGGGCTTGTAGCAGGCCGTCATCAGTTCTGATGTCCTATGTTGGAACTCCCGGCAGCCTCTTACACGATGTATCAGTACAGCTCAGGCCTTTTCAATTGTTTTGCTTGCTTTATTTGTGAGCTGACCTGGATCCGGAAGATACCTCTTGTGGTGAATCAAGATTAAAGCTTTAACTCTCACCAGGAATCCCTGACTCTGAGCTATTTAAGCCTGGAGGATCTTCCTGAACAGGCGATATGGAATCAAGTTCAGTAGGCTCTTTAGTTTAAAACCCTTTCTTCTTCCTCTCTAGTTACAGTTTTCAAAATAGTATTGTGAGACTAGCGAGCAGCCTCAGTGTATTCAGTCTGGAGTTTGGAGGAATTTGGCCCAGGACCTTCCAAGTTGCAGTAATCATAGGTTTCTATGTCCTATATTTTCCAGGACAGTATACTTTTCAAATACTGTGCGTTATTGCTCACCAAAGTGTGTTCTTGTTTGCTGCTTGTTTCAGGAAAATATATTATCAGAATTATTTTTTAAAATTAAACATTTATTAAATTAATGATGTGGAAACTGAATTTCAAGTACCTTTTGCTGTTTTAATTGTATGTTAAATTCCTCAAAGGTAACACAGAGGGCATCAAACTTTTCTCTAGCCGAGGGGAGGAACACCAGCCAAGACTTGCCTTGGGCATTGGTGGTAATAACTAATGCATACTGAGGACTTTCTTTGTGCCAGGAGTTGTTCTAAATGCTTTATGTCAGGGCTTCTTCTATTCCTCAGCGCTGTTGATATTTTGGGCTGGGTAATTCTTTGTTGGGGGCTGTTCTGTGCATTGTAGGATATTTAGCAGCATCTGTGGCCCCTACCCACTAGATGCTAGTGGTACCTTCTCTAGTCATGAC